CTACTCTACTCTACTCTACTCTACTCTACTCTACTCTACTCTACTCTGGAAGGTATTAATGGGAAAATAAAATCACATCAATGAACTCAATGCTTCTGCCATATCAGTCTTAACAAAAGCATTTTTGAGTCCAGCAGCAGGTAGCATCCCTGAAAAGAGAGAGACAGTGGAGATGGCAGCAAGGACTGGATGATTTAACAATGGAAGCAGAACTTGAGGGTGCAAAGAGGGCTTAAAATATCAGTCATCTTTTGATAGATCTCTGGTATCATTAGATCGCTCTGTTTGTGGTAGAGCTTGGAAATCTTACAGTGAAGACTTGCCTCCAAAAGAAGCAGAACAAATAAAGTATGTGCATGTCCCATTTACCCTTCCTCTTAAAATAAATTCATCTTGCTAAGATGATTGTCCTCTGGTTGACAAACATGGGTTCATCAGTGGACAATGCCAGTACTCTCTTAGCAGGCTATCTATCCAATTCCAATTCTATACAAAAATGTATCAAGATTAGGAACTAGAATCATGGTTAATTCTCTTTCCTCATTTTCTCAAATACAGTTGGCCAAACTGAAAAGAAACTTAAAGATATAAGGGAATTGGAATAGATGTGTACCCATGATATGATCTCCCCTAAGCTGGAAAAACCAGCTGCTGATTTAGCTGCATAGAGAGAAACTGGAGGTGTCAAGAATAGGTAGTGTGGATTTATCTCATTCATACTGTACTTCCCAACAATTATTAACAACTTGAGAATATTGTAGAAGTCTAACCAACTGCTATATTTAAAGTAAGCAATTAAGTCTCTCACAGTATAAAAGCATATACTCTGTATACATATATGTGTATATATACTCAGTGACAAGTGAGTATTGTTCAAGGGAAATTGGTATATGTCCAGAAAAGATTTTGGTTTCAGTTTCAAAGAAACCTGGGAAACTGCTTTATCTAAACAAGATTTCAGATTGTTAATGCTTACTTTCTGACATACTTGGAAAAACACCAATGTTTTCAATTAAAATACAATATTATGTAATGTTAGGATGCTGTATGTAAGATACGGTAAAATAAAGCAGAATACAATCTTGTTCAATTATAACAACTGTATAATATCATACCTGAAAAAGTGCAAGAGTAAGAAGTGTAAGAGATATCAGGCAAGAGAGAGCTCACAGTATGAAGGAGAAGAGGCACACTTTTAGTGGCTGGCAAAGCCTCACAGAGACGAGCACAGTTGTTGATAGACAGGCTTCGCTTTGCTTATAGGGAAAAATAAATTAATAGAAGTAAAAGAATAATTTTAATGTACTTAGCAGAATGATGTTTTTTCCACATAGAAAAACAGGCTTAGAATCTGATAAACATGAATGCTGTGCACATACAATTCATTAAGGTAAAAAAGAAGAAATTCTATAAAGTGTATCTCTTTCCAATATTCAAGATTTTTTTTAGAAAGACAGTTTATTAGAAAAAAAACTAGAGGACAGAAAGAAAATCTTGCTTTTGGAGCTTCTGTATCATTAATGTTGCTCATCACCCTTATTTCTCTGAGTTACTGATTCTATAAAAAGCACATCTTATGCTTGCACATTGTATTACTGTAGAGAAAATGGCTACATCATCATCTAGAAATCTGTAAGAAGATGGCAACAAAAGAGTTGTGGCAAAAGAGTAAAGATAGTATCCATGGTGATATCAGCATTGACAAAATCATAATCAGTCAATTACAAAGACAGCTTTACTTGAAACAGCTTACATCCTGCAACAATTTAATACTTAACACCAGGGGTGTCAAACTCAAGGCCTGTGGGGCTGGCCTGGAAATATCAAAGGCCTGGCCTGCAGTGCCTCTACTGGACAAAACAGGCTGCTGGAGGGCCGCATGCGCCCCCCACAATCTATTTTGGGGTTCTCCAGTCTCCTGCAGCACGCTGTCAGCCAAAACAGGCCGCATGGAGGCCCCACTCAGCCCACCTGCTCGGCCTGTTTTCAGCTTCCCCAGCCTCCAGCAGCATTCTGCTGGCCAAAAATGGGCTGCACAGAGCCTCATGGGTCCTACGCAGGGCACTTTTTGGCTGGAAGAGTGCTGCTGAAGGCTATGGATGCTGAAAACAAAGCGTAGTGGGGGCCACACACTGACCCCCCCCTCAACCTGTTTTGGCTGGCAAAGTGCTGGAGGCTGTTCAGGACAAAAATGGGGCAGAGGGGGCTGCAGGCGTGCCCCATTTTGGCCGGCAGAATGTTGCAGGAGGCATCCATCCCATCTCCCCCCGCTCCCCGCCCCCCCCACAGCAAACTACAATGGTGATCCGGCCCTCAAAGAAATCCAGTTTGACACCCCTGCTTAACACCATCAAATAACCTGCCTATCCAAGGTTCTTAAGGAAGATGGCTAAAGATGCCCAATCGAGTCTAAACATTTGGCCGAAAAACTGCATTGGGAGTGGTGTAAAATAATTAGACTTTAAATGGCACTTTTGAGTATTCTGAACATAGAACAACATTAGAATTTTGACCCTTATTAGTTCAAGTTTCTTAGTGTTCCAAAATTGGTTTTTTTTTAAAGAATGAACTGTTCTAAGTTACAGAAATGTGGACATAGTCATTATCCAACAAAATAGCGAGCAGTAATTCAGTCTTGGTACCACCCTCTGACGCTAGCTGAAGGACAGAAAGAAAACAGATTAAGGGGAAGCCATTTAAACACATAGACTAACAACCATTTGGAGTATAACGAGCAGGCTACATTTTAAAAAACAATTGCTATGAAGAAATGATAATGTTAATTATATAAATCTAATATATTATCCCTACATGTTCCCATGTGCTTTCATTTTCAAAGAAATTTTGCCAAAATCAAAAAAGTATGTATACTGGTAGTGTTGACTTACAACCATTTGCTTAACAACTGTTCAGATTTATGACAGTGCTGGTAAAGCCAATGGGGGAAGTTGGATTCACTTAATGACAGCATGATTAACTTAACAACTACAACAAAATGGTTGTAAAATCAATTGCAACTCATTTAACCACCACATCGCTTAGCGATGAAAGTGCCAGGGTTCACTAACTATAAGAAAATAAACTCTCACAGAATTTTCTGTTCTGGGCTCCTTCCCTATAACAGCAATGCTGACAAAAAGTATTCTGAGTGAATGGGAAAAGATATATAAAGGGAATCTCTCGCAAATTAAATATTGTCCTTGCTATCAACAAATGCAGATCTACCTATGAGAGATAGAAGTGTGAAAACAGTTCCGTTCAATCAGTTTTCCTGTTGCCAGGCCCTAAGAGACAGATAGCTACCATACAAATGTTATCCAGGGACAGAGGCATCAATCTCATCTGAAAAGGCTTAGACGATGCATGCTACATTATTTATTGATGTAGAAAACTATAATCATGCTGTTAGCAGTGACCTGATAATTCTGTTCCAAAGGCTCGGTTTGAATGTAAGGCTTTGAAAATTGCAAAGGTCCAAATAATTAACTTCTTGTTTTCGTTTGGAGAGGAATCATATCTCATTTATCCTAATAATACTCAAGAGAGAAATCCAAATTCTATCAAAAGCATTTGTTGATGCTGTCATAAAAAGAGGCTTGGATGTGAAGAGAAAGCCTTCTATCGGAATATTCACCGCAGAAGAGTGGTGAGCTATCTGAAATATTTGCAAATTAGGTATTTACCAAGGGAAGGAAGAAAATAGGTCCCTTTATTTCTTGAGAAGCTGTATGAAATTGTTGGAGCATTGTTGGGAAAGATGGAGAGTGGTTGTGCACAAGAACTCGATACAGGTAGTCCTTAGTTAAAAATGACAATTAGGATCAGAATTGCTGTTGCTACCTATTGTGGTCATAAAGCAGCATGCTACATGAAGGTCCTGCTTAGTGACAGCAATTCTAGCATTACTGATTTCCATTGTTAAGTGAGGCATCACATGGTTCATATTTGCAACCTCTTGCCAGATTCCCCGTTAGCTTTGCTTATTTGAAGCTGGCACCAAACAAAAAAAGTCAATCACAGGCAACTGTGACATTATAATTGCAAGCCAGATGCCAGGATTGTGATCATATGAATGTGGAGTTTTACAGCAATTGAAACTCTAAGAACTGGTTGCAAGTACCATTCATTCAGGGCTATTCCAAATTTGAATTGTCACTAAATGTGTGGTTGTTAACTACCTGTAGCATAGCTAAAGGAGACAATAGTAAAGAACCATGAATCTAATACAATAGTTTTCCAAGCTAAGCAATAAGTGGTAAGTTCTTGTATCATGGTGGAGAAAAAGAAAAGAATTTGCTCCTGGACAAGTTTCACAGCTAACATTAACCATATTTATACACAGGTGGTTAATAATAAAACTAATTTCTTCTACGTAGTAATGCTTTTCAAATGTGTGCCTTCTCCAGGGCACAATGTTTCTGTCCATTGAACAAACCCTATCATATGGGAGATGCTAGGTTCTTGTCTTATCTTACTCCAACTTCCCGACAGAATGGAAGCAGAAAAAAGTACAGAGGGAAATTAAGCCTACTAAGAGAGTAGAGGTACCAGTGGATTTATTTTTTGAGTATAAAGCTGTAATTTTGAAACTGCGGGGGGAAAAAACACCTCCAAAAGACTTACATGATGAGTCATAAAACCAATCTCGTCTAACTATAAGTAGCTATAGCTAACAAAAATAGAGAAATAAGATGGAACTGAACCAGTATATTAGCTGCAGTTCATCCGAAGGCAAATGTTACCAACCATTTTAAAAACTATTTGTAAATCTTTATTCTAAAGGGCCTAGTATTACTTAGCATGGCTTCAGACAGGGCACTTTTTCTGGCTGCAGGCAGGACACTTTTGTCAGAGAGTTGGTGTTAAGAAAAGAAATTCTTCTTAGCTCACTTTGCAAACTTTTGCAATGCATACAATTTTGTACTACATGATAAAGGTATGATGGGGTAAGGAGAATGTCAGTAGCTGGCAACTTGTATCACATTTAATGCCTAAAGAGTCATTTTGATGCTGTATGCCAACAGTCCCCAACTTTTCTGGTACCATTATTCCATGGACTGGTTTGTGTGTGTGGGTATTTTCGCATGCAACCTATATCCTGGGCATGCACAGATGAAGCTTCACTTGCTCGCCTGCCATTTGCATGGCATGGTTCCTAACAGGCCCTGGACCAGTACCAATCTGTGGCCCAGGGATTGGGGACCCCTGCTATAGACCATACCTCCATTTAGAAATATAGAAATATTTGCAAGAATTTATGAGAAGTATCTGTATAAGTAACCTATGTCCTTATGAAGAATGAATTCTCTGGCGTTTTAAAAGGTTTTGGGGTCTATGAAGTGTTTCATCCTTGTGTGACAAACAAAGATATAATTGGGAAGTGGACAACTAAACATGAGTTTTCTGTGGAGACTACCCCTGGATTTTTCAAGAAACCATTATTAAAACAAGCCATGATTTCAATTAGTAAAGATGAATGAAGAAAAGTGAAACCCCTCCCCTCATATGGAGTTGAAAGCTTGTAAAAAAAACTGGGATGAAATCAGAGGAATATATTTTACAGTAGAGGTTATGTTACTAATCAAAGTTGATGAAAAATTACAAGCATTTTTGAACACTGAAAGAATGCAAAAGTATTTGTTACGGATTTTACAGGAATTTTGGTTTTACTCTTAGAGCTCCAACTATTTAAAACTACATAACTTATAACAACATTGAACCTGCCAGTCACAATAATTTTGCAATTTAATAGCAAAGGCCTTTACATTATATACATACAATCTTTGAATATTCCATAAAATTAAAGAACCCAATTACATACTTGAAAACATGTGCACACATATACAGCAACTAGAGGTTGAACCATATAGGAGTTTCAAAGGTTGTTTCAATCAATGCAATGCAACCCTCCACTGAATAACCAGAATAAAAAGCCAAGTATGTGCTACCGAATTATGACATCGTGACGATCATATGAATGATCCAACTATTTTTAGACACAGATATGTGAAATCTCAATTATTTTGCAATCCCAACTATTTTCTACCATCTTACAATTTAAAAATGCATAATTAATAATGAATAACCAAAACAGAAAGTTTCCCTTCCTACCTTCACCCAAGTTAAGTATTTTATACTAATTGGACCAGAAACACTGACTCTAATATTTAGTTGATAAACAAATTCTAAGCCAAGGGTAGGGTTGCCAGATTTAGAAAAGTCCCAGAGCAATGAAAACAATTCATATGCAGAAATATATACAGTAGAAACCCTGACAAAAACAAGATTGTTTAAAAAGCAACTCAAATCAAAACAAATATGAAATGTTAGAAATTAATTTAAAAAAAAAGACATTTGTATTATTGGAACACTAAATTGCCTGTTTCTAACCTGTTGTCCTCTGACGCACTGTATTCCTTGCTTTCTCAATTCCTGGTACTCCTGAGGTGGTAGCGCTCCTAAATCTCATTGGTTCTGCAACATCAGGATGATCTCTCCAGCTCAAAGAAAACGATCTTCCAACTGCAGCTCCTTTTTGAGAGTCCAAAATGCCACCTTTCAATAATGGAATGTACAGCAAAATTAACCTTAATGTGCTTAGGGAATTCAAGAAGACCAGATTGTAAATGAAAGTCTAATTGACAGTTAACCAACTGATTAATCTCCAATATAAGTGGCTAAGCAGGAACTGTCATTTAAATCAATTAAAATGATTTCTAGCACCAAAACTGTAAACAAAATTTGATTTTAGGAATGGAACTAAGGAATAATTAGATAATGAAGCTTCCTCAATAATTGAGTTTTTGTAAGAATCTGCTGAAGCAGGAATTTAATAGCTAACCATGTCAGTAAAAACAGTAAAAGCAAGAAGTGCATAAGAATAGAGAGCCAGCAGCTAAACCAAAGCAGATTTTTGCTTACACATAGGCAAGACAAAAACAACGCACTATCTGATATAGAATAGGTGCTACCTGGCTCAACAGTTGCAACTGTGAAGTATCCTAATAGACCACCAATTAAATATGATCCAGCAATGTGCTGCAGTTGCCCAAAAAGCTAATGCAGTCCTAGATGCATCAATAGAGGGCTAGTTTCAAGATCATGTGAAATAATACCACTTTATACTGCACTGATGAGGCCACACTTAGAATTCTACATCCATTTCTGATCACAATACAAAAAGATGTTCAAAATCTAGAAAGAGTGCAAAGGTGCAACAAAGACGGTAAGAAGTCTGGAGTAACTTCCCACATTAAGAGTTACAAATAGTAAATGAAAAGATCTCATGTCTGAATTACTAAAAACAAACAAACAAAACAAAACAAACTTGCAACACACAATGCTGTGCTATTTCTGCATTAGAAAGCTGTTATAGAAGTCTTTGCCAGATCTATCAGTCAACTTGAAATTGATCTGCACAATCCAACTCTCCCTCCTATATTTGACCAGCTCATCCCTATCCGTTCCCACCTTTTTTACAGGTGGGCTGCATTTGTGAGGTTTAAATAGGAGGGAACAGTCTACAGTTGTGACACAAACCCTGGCAGGCAGAGAAGTGGGAAGCTGGCTAGTGAGTAACACCCATGGCACCACTACACCACTCAGCCTCCTGCTCTGTTGCAGCCATGAGCAAGCAGAAGTAATAGGCTGGCAGCCACGTGCTGCTGCACATGAATTCCAGAATTATGCAATAAATAATAAATAAATAATAAACATTTCTTAGATTTGAATTGAAATAAAGTATAATCTGCTTTTGAATTTGATCACAATAAAATAAACTACTTATACATGTTGGAGAATTCAAATTCCACTGAGTAGATAAAATAGGTACTTTTTAGGGGAAATCAGTATTTAGAGACCTTATGTAAACACATGATCTCCTTGCATGACCTTTCAAACAATAGCCCTTTATATATTTAGAATAAGCTATAAAATTGCATCGGAGTGCAATATTTGTTTTCAGTAAATAAGTAGCATTTACTATTTTTCTCATTTCATACAGATAATTTCAATCATTTCCTTATCATTTACCTCTTCCTTTTTGTATTTTCTCTTTTTGTTCACTTAGCTTATCTAGTGGCAAGTTGGTCATTTCAACACCGTATACTGTCCTTGCTAAAACAGATGTTAGAGAATCCATTATATTAGCCCATTCTATTATTAGTTCTTCCCAATCTGTAAGAGATGATAGCACACGTAGCAACTCGTCCCAGAGCTCACGAGAAATATAAACACTCAAATTTGCCCGGATCCAAGCCACAATGAGAGTCTGTGGTTAAAAAGACAAGGAAAAATGGACAGCTGATTGGATTATCATCTTCAACTGAATGAAATTCAAATGAACTTATTTCTAGGTAATCCTTGACTTACAACCATTCATTTAGTGACCGTTCAAAAGTTACAATGGCACTTATTGTAACTTATGTGACTTATGAGAGTTTTTTCACACTTATGAGAGCTGCAGCATTCTGATCAAAACTTAGATGCTTGGTATTTATGACAGTTGCAGTGTTCCAGGGTCATAGGATCTCCTTTTGTGACCTTCTGAGGAGCAAAGTGAATGGGGAAGCTTACTAATTAATAGCTGCAGTCATTCACTTAACAACTGTGGCAAGAAAGATCATAAAATGGGGCAAAAATAATTTAACAACAGTCTTGCTTAGCAACTGAAATCTTGGGCTCAATTGTGGTCGTAAGTTAAGGACTATTTGTACATATTTCTAAAGAAAGGAAAGGGTAGATACATTTATACCAGATTATTCAAAGTAGATGCATCATTCCAGTTTATGGAATACTATATATTCTCAGTCATCTAGGTCATGGTTGTCCCAAAGGTGCTTTTTTGAAGAGGCAACTGGACTTTCTGGAAAGTCCAGTTGTCTCTTGAAAAAAAGCACCTTTGGGATATATAATACATTATATTTAGGAAAACCAAAGAAGTGTGCCATGCAAACACATAACAGTTTCCTATTATTTTGTTTTGTATTCATTTTTTTTAGGTTTAAAATGTTTCAAATATTTGTCTTCTGTAAGAATTATGCAATATGGGCAATTAAGTATCGGAAAACACCCAGAATACAGCATCTGATCTGTATTTTGAAATTGCTGGTTATTAGTTAAACTTCATTTTAAGTAAACAATAATATTTTTATTAACTTTTTCCTAGTAAATGACATTAAAAGTATTTTTCATTTTTAAAAGCTATTTGATTCTGTTTCCCAATCTATTAGATGCAGTTTGCAGAACCAGGAAATAACACAAATACACAGAAAAACACAATCCCCTCTCCCCAAACCCCCCAATAAAATGTCATTTCAGATTGATTCTCTAACTTGAACTCTGCAAACCATTCTGTTAATATAATGTTCCCACTGTAAAATATTTTATTCTGACAACAGAAAGACCTGTTGCAGAGTTGGGCCACTTCCAGAATTGTATCTCTGAATATATAATATATCGTAAGATCAAAACCTATAAGCCTATCCCTAATTTATTTAGTGGAGAAGCAAAATTGTTATTTCACACAAATTCCGTCTAGTTTTGTGAAACTATTTCAGTCTTAGAGCATGACATATATGTCATTTATTCCACCTCCATTTTCCTGTTCCCTGTGCTAAAATCGTAGAACTAATCATTGGTTATATTGCAGTATTAAAACTACAAATTTAATTACAGGAAGTGACTGACATAAGACACGGTGCTTAATAATGATTCAAAATTATGATGGCCTTGGAAAGGGTGCTTTAGGGCCTGAAAAGCACATCTAGCTGTCGTAAAATGTTGCACAGCCCCCCCTGCAGTCACATGATCTCAGTCTGGGTGTGTGGCAACCTGTTGCACTTACATATAGCTGCCAAGCAGCCTGCAATCATGTGATCACCATTTGTAATCTTATCTGCCAGCTTCCCCAGAAAGTCAACGAGGAAAATGGCAGAGAAGGTTACAAGTTGCTCCTGCCTGCTGAGAGGACTCCCTCGTCTCTGTGGATTGGCTGAAAGAGCTGCCTGCTGAGGGGAGTGAAACTCCTTTAGCAGGATGGAGAAATAGAGCTTAGATTCCAAACAGCAGGGCTCCATTTCTCCATCCCGCCAAAAGTGTCCCCTTTTGCGCAAGGAGGAGAATTGAACTCCTTTAGCAGGATGGAGAAACAGAATTCAGATCCTAAGTTTATGCAAGGAAAGATTCCTTTCCCTATGTGGAGGGGAGCTCAACTCCTTTGGGAGAGTTGAGAAACACAGCTCCGATCATGATGATTTGAATTCTATTTCTGTGCTCCACATGACTTCCCTGTCAGGGGCAAAGGAGAGGTGGCATCCTTCAATAGGCAGCTCTTTTAGCAAGTCCCTAGAGATGAAAGATCCAAGGCAAGATCCAAGCAGGATTTTAAGCTCCTGATCAGAGAGGGAGCATTATAAGGTAAGAGTGTGAGATGCCTCAGGCAGGTGGGGGAGGCCCTGGGATGCCTGGCACAGGCCACACACAAGTGTCTCTTTGCTCAGGGACTGAAAATTGTCCTTGCATTTAGACAGAGAGCTTTTTCACCTTCTGAGTGGAGCATCCCAGTTTTCCCACGCACCTCTCCAGAAGCACCCTCCTTCCCTGACATGAGACTCCCTCCACTTAACAACCTCAACTGTAAGTACTGGAACTGCAGTCTTTGAGCAAAGCAGTCACGTGGGCAGTCATATCACTCAATGACCACTTCATTCAACAATGGAGATGACCAATTGTGGTTCATGAAGCAAGGAATACCTATATTAAATAATGAAGCTCATATATTACCAACATTTAATGTTCTTGTCATTTATATGCTTCTAAACGTATGACAAATAGTGATCTTGCCATATCTTGCTATATTGTGCTATAAAATATAACTCTGCAATACAATTATTTTCTGTGTAGCTGAGACTCAGGCAGCATATAAATTTAATTAATTAACTATAGCACTTGAACAATATTTAAACTGCTCTACAAAAAAATGAGACATACCCGAAATAGTGAACCCGCTAAACTTTGACCAAATGCATCCTTTATTTGATCTTCTTTGGAGTTGCTCATGACAGCCTCTGTTATGCTAAGAAGCATTTGTAACATATGCTCCCTAGGAGAAAAATACACACACACACACACACAATTTTTATATGAATGTAAAAATTTGCTAATGGTATTTATCTTAACATTCTCTCATAATAATGTTGATACTACTGACATAGGTACTTCTAACAGCTCTGAAAAAGTTATAAAGAGAAGCAAATATTAGGATTGTGCACACTTAAAAAATTAATATGGATAGCCCTCGACTTACAACACTTAGTTTAGTGACAGTTCAAAGTTACAATAGAAGTGGTAATAATTGACAGCATTCTATTGGTTCAGTCATGAAAAACATGTATTTCAAATAATCCTGCCTTATAACAATATGTTTTTCTCCCTAGAAAACAAAACAAATTATCAGTGGAATTCCCAGGAAAACTAGATAGGAAACAGGACAAGATGAACTAATTCTACTTTATTGTAAGGCTATATTAATAGAATCTTGCAAATATGAAGGCATAAACCTCCTGCCTTCGCTATTAATAGTTTGATCCATTTGGGCAGGTCTTTCTAAAGTTTCTTTCTCTGTTCATTAAGCGACTGCCAGCTCCTACCTCTCTTGTCTGATTGTTTCCTAAGCAGCATTTCCTCCTCTTTTTCCAAAGTCATTCATACATTCCAATACAAATAAACATACCAGGTCTTTTTATTCATTGGAACTTCCATTATCATGCGCCTATATATACTCAAAACTGCTCTGCAAGAATTTATCTGCTCTTTAAGAAGTTCAGGGGCTTCACTGCATGGTTCCAATAAAAATATGTTTGCAGAGTTTGTCAAAAATACCTTTATATTTTGAAGGAAAGAGAGGAGGAAGAGGGAAAGGGGGAGAGAGAGAGAGAGAAGGTATATGAATCTATTCAGGTTATTTTGAATAATTTGAACAATATATTCTTCACGACATTTAGGATTAAATTAATCTATTCACAAACAGAACATCACCCTTACAATAAGTTATAAACAGCACAGTGTTGTGGTTAGCCGGCAGCAGGTGCGGATGGCTGAGGAGACCGAGGACTCAGGTGAGGGGCCAGGACCATTAGGGAGTGGACTACTGCCTTCAGAGATTGTGGGGGCTGGCAGCAGTGATGAGGAGGTTCCCGAGGAGCCTGTAACAAGTGCGCATGCACACAGGATTGCTCGGAGGAAAGAGCAGCTACAACAGCACGGGCGACTCAGGAGTAAGGCTGCAAGGTAATGGCCCCTCCTTCAAAAAGATAAAAGCAGAAGGCAAAGACATTTTGAAACTCCAGCCTTGTGGACATTCCAGTATCCTGAGTTTGCATTAGAAGATTCTTGTATTGCAAATTATTTCTTGTCTGTTATCTTTTGGCAAGTCTTGCACAGTTTGGCAAGGCTTGTGCTTATCACAGCTAATTATTTTGCAAAAGCATTACAAGGTTTCTGTTCTATTTGGATTGTGTTTGATTTGTTGGAAAAGGGCGTGGGTCAGAACACACAGTCCCTTACACATATTAAATAACAGCCAGCTGATTGTTGGGTATCTGCCACGTATGTGCGGGGGGGGGGGGGGGGGGAGACGCATGTGCGGAGGCATGCAGTGTGTGGGGGTCACACGCGCATGTGCAGGGAGAGTAGCAGGGAGAGTAGCATTCACATTGCATCATGGGTACAGGCACGCGAGCGCACGCACGCACACTTTTGGCACACAACATGGAAAAGGTTAGCCATCACTGATCTAGAGCATCATGCAATGAAACAACTGAAAATGGTAGCTTATGAACAGACTCTTATAGTACAGAATTTTACATAAGTGAACTGTGACCATGTGACTGTCTTGAAAAGTTAGCTTGAAAAAGGATGTAATGATCATGGGAATAGGCCTTGATCAACTAAAATATTGAAGAGCCATCATAAGATAATTTAATCATTGTAACGGTTCAGAGAGACAGTTGTTGCAGCGACTCATGGATATTCTCAATCTTGGATTACATAGAAAAACAGTTTTAAAGAGTTCATTTTTAAAAATGTTTTGAGTATAAAATTTCTTGCCTCAAACATGAATTGATTATTTTAAGCAGCAAAATGGGCTGCCTTTGAGTAGTACTCTGGAGTGTACAGAGGATTTCTATTTATCTTTTAAAAATCACCACTTAGAAGCCTTTTGATCTTGGTTCCTTTGATCTTTTTGGGGGGAGGGGAGATCACTTTGAAGAATGTGAAGGAGAAAAAGGACAAAATATAGATGCTGATTAGGGAATCTTCTGGGGCCTTTTTTGGTTTTATGTTTTTTAAGTATTTCTGGGGCTATTTGTGTTTCTTTTCTATTTCCTTTTAACTTTTTGCAGCTCAAATATAGTCTGAATATTTTGATTTTCTATATTTTTGATCCACTGCAGGAGTCTACCCCAAATTTAGAATAATTCTAGTTACAATTAAGGTAACATCAAATGTGTCTTTTACTTAGCATTTATCAGTTCTAAAGGAGCAATCTATTTCCTTTTGTCCAAAGCATAATTTCAGTTTCAGTTTAATTACATAACAAATATAAATACAATTAACAAGTACAAAATATATTACACAAATTAAGAAAGCTATCTCTTGTGTATCATATATATAATACCTGCAGTGTAGCTTGAAGACCTGCTTTAACATTCTGGTTTTCATCTTCTAATAAGCATCCTCTGGTAACAGCATTAGAGAAGGAATAACTTCTTCCCCAACTTGAGGATCTTTTATGTCCAGACACAAGCTTTACAAAAACATATTAGTCAATATGAGTACCCAGAATGTAACCCCGTTTGCTCAGTGTAAATTTTAACAAAAGCATTAGCAGCTTTAATACATTTTCAAAAATAAACAAGCACTTAATAGTTAGAATATTTAAATACTCTATACCATAAATTATTTAACGTGTGTGTGTGTGTGTGTGTGTGTGTGTAAGAGAGAGAGAGAGAGTGGGGGAGGGGAGAGAGAGAGAGAGAGACTGGCAATATTTCACTACTGATTTACACATGCTTCATACAATATAAAGTACCGTTTCTACTTGGATACTACCACTGATATAAAAGGTTAAGGGGAGATAATCTCCCAAGTATACGGGCCCACAGGGTCTATAATTGTCCACACAAATTTAGGGGGTTGTTAGAAGGAGAGGAACTGGTTCCATTTACAAAAGTCTATACCAGATTAATAAGACTTTTATCAACAAAGAGGTGATGATTTGATACTATTTGAATCAGATATAGTAATAATACAGAATGGAATAAAGACTGATGCAACAGATTTTGAAAGGATTGAATTAGTGACCACGGCATTAGAACTCCTTTCATTTTCTTCAGTAATATGATATAGACAGGGAATAAATATTTCCAGTGAAAAAAACAATGTCTGACAAAACATTTGTACAAAAAAAATCTAATTTTCTATTCGAATCAGTTTTACTGATTCATTTACTATCAACAGATTTAAACATTTACTTATTAGTGATGAATTAATTTGATTTAAACTATGCAATTTCTCGACATTTCCATATAAGTTTAACACTGTGGCCTGTGTATCATTATTTGAACTCAGTATAAGAATACTGAAGGAAAAATTGAATCACTCAACATAGAAGGAACAGAAGGGGAACTTATTAAATTCGTAGGATACTAAACTGACAGGAATAGCCAACACTCCTGAAGAGACGCTCAGGATTCAAAAAGATCTTGACAAACTTATCTATCCAACAAAATGAATTTTAATGTGGACAAAAGCAAAGTTTTACATTTAGGCAGGAAAAAATCAAAGGTATAAGTACAGATTAGGTTAGATCTAGCTTAGAAACAGTAGCTGGGAGACAAACCTTGGAGTCCTAGTGGATGATCATTTACATATGAGCCAGCAGTGTACAGCCACCACCAAAAAAGCTAATACAATCCTGAGTTGTATAAGCAGAGGCACAGAATCAAGATCATGTGAAGTATTAATACCGCTTTATAAAACCCTAGTAAAACCACACCTGGAATACTGCACCCAATTTTGGTCAACATACTACAAAAAAGATGTTGAGACTTTGGAAAAAGTTCAGAGAAGAGCAACTAAGATGTTCAAAGGCCTGGAGACTAAACCATATGAAGAAAAGCTGCAGGATTTGGGTTTAGCTAGTCTAAAGAAAAGAAGAATTAGGGGCAACATGATAGTAGTATTGGAGTATTTGAAGGGCTGCCACAAAGAAGAAGGGGTCCAATTATTCTACAAAGCATCAGAGGATAGGAGAAGAAACAATGGTTGGAAATTAACCAGAGAGAAGCAACCTGGAATTAAGGAGAAACTTTCTAATAGTGAGGACAATTAACCAGTGGAACAGCTTGCCTTCAGAAATCATGGGCACTCTTATCACTGGAGGTTTTTAAGAAGAGTCTAGACAGTCACTTATCTGAAATAGTATAGGTTCTCCTGCTTGAGCAGGGGGCCGGACTAGAAGACCTCCAAGGTCCCTTCCAGCTCTATTCTATTCTAAATTTCTAAACAGATGCTTTTAGAAAAATATAACAGGATATCCTAAAAGTTACTTTTCTTAGACAAAAAGATTTATACTACTGTATAAATTTTAATATATCAACCCTTCATTTGGATAAAATAAGCATATGTTTCTCCCAGATTAATTAATGCAATTAATTCATTAATTAATTAATGCAATCCTAAGAATAATATTTTAAGGCCAGTCATTTCCGATTTAAAGATCCAAAATTTTGTTGCCATATATTTGGACTTTTTGTCAAAAGAAATCCTCTGAAATGTATAGCTTTGGAAGAATACTTTTAGAAATATTCAACTTGTGCATGAATATGGTACTAAGAATTGAAAGGTTTTTAAGGAAAGCAAGACCTTGATTCTATTCTACTTTCCATACCCAACCTTCCATGTTCTAAGTATATACCGGTAATTAAAATTTTCCATTAATTTATTCAAATATTTTATCTATGGTAAATAGCACAACTGATAATTGAGGGAATTCCTCTGAAGTTTGAAAGTGACTAAGAGAAAAATGAGTACCTGAGTAGCAACAGATTGTTAGAGAAAAAGTGGAACCAAGTTTTGTATATATTATTTACATTAGTCTGAGCATCTTCTTTGCTCAGATTATACAATTATTTACAAACCTCAATTGATTACATCACACAAACCCATTGCCTATTAATAAAGACTGGTAGCATACATGTTTGCCATTCGTCTCTTCTGTTGAGTGTTCTGTGATGACATCATCATCTTGAATAGTCTCCTTTGCATCTGGTTCTTGCATGAAGACAGGTTTTTCATGTAGTATCCATTTCCTATAAACTTTCACAATTTTTTCAGTTAAGGATATCTCTGATGGTGGCAGCAAAAAGGCCTAAAAGAGGAGTAATAGATATGAGGAGATTGAACTCAAAGTTCTCCATTTACCTACTTTAATCCATCAAGCTGTCATCCATAAAATAAAAAATAATTATAATATCATACAGTTATGTAACAAAAGCACATCAAGACCAAGAGTTTAGAGATTGTTAGATGTATATTAATACTCATGTAAAAGTATAGCTTTTTTCAATGTCTATGTGATGTCTATTTGTTTCATTTCTCTATCATCAGAGGAGCTTTAATATTTTTGAAAGGCACATGGTTTAGGACAATATTATAGGTTGAAAAACTAAGACATAGGAATTCAAATAATGTGGCAACAATTCTAACAGAAGAGGTATGTTGTACATTGTGTCTGTTAAAAAGCTACACCTGGAGACAGGTCTTTTCTGCTGTGGCATCTGTGCTGTGGAATAACATTTCCGCTGGAGATCAGACTAGACCCATCCATGGTAGCTTTCAAATCTTCAAAATGTAGCTCTATCAATAAATGGGGGAGGGGGGGGGCAGTGTTCCTTAGGAAAATGGAGAATTAGTGAGATGGCTGTATTGTTAACACCAAATATGCTCTTTTCTAGTCTTTTAAAATAATATTGATATTCTTACTGTGGACTATTTTGATGTTTGGTTTTTTAATGGTTTTTTTATAGTGTACATTTGTCAGATAGGTGGCACAAATAAATGAATCAAGGTTTGAGATAAAATTCATACTATATTACATTTAAGTACCTAAAATAAGCACTTATTACTATACTATCTTATTAAGTACTTATTAGGCTGTGCAATTTTTTAAAAACGTTCTTAAATATTTTCAACCAAAATGATTAAGTAGACATTGGTACCTGTTATTATCTGATTGCAGAATAGAATACTTTCAATACAATACTTAAAATACTTTCTGTTAGGGATAACATTGTTTACCCTAACTGGTTTGGGTAAAAATAATAAATATGGTATCATGGTTTGTTAGTTAAAGTGTGTGTAACTTTAACTGCAAGAATGTAATTAAGGGTGTGGTTGTAAAAGCACTATATAAGAAGCGAGGCAATTGCAGCTCTCTCTCTCTGGCTTACTGATCCCTAATTACTGGATGGATTGATGACTGCGTTCTTGCTGGAACGGGGAGAGAAAAAGGAGTGTTGATTTTTTCTCAACGGAGAGAAGATAAAGATTGGACTGATTTATTGTAAGTGTACTGACATTGGCTATTCAACACGGACTTTGCAAATAGAGTATCCCCGACAAGACTTGACTGAAATTGATATATGACTAATGGACCGTTACATTTGACTATGCTATAATTCTTAAATGGAATAAACTATATTTTTGATAGTACAAGCGTATCTGTATTTTTACTGCGTGTTAACTAGAAAACTTATCTCACACATTTACCTGTCTTCCTGACTTCGCTGCACGTTCTGTTTAGTTTGTTTTCCTTAACACCTGTTGGGGAATCCAGGCTTAACACTGGTTATGTGCCCAGAGAGACTGCAAAGTCAGTTTAACTAGGATAAAAACAGGTTTATGTAAAAAGTGAGATTTTGTGTTGTTACACGTTACAGTAAACAGACAGCTGTGTTTTATCAATTATAGTTTTATATCCATATAGTGAAACATGGCACAAATCAGTCTACAAAGTTTGTCCCTTATATCCAAGCTGGATGGAACAAACTATGTTTCATGGTCTATGAAATGTAGTCTACTTCTACGAAGAGAAGGTCTGTGGAACATAATTGAAAATCCACCAAACGTAGAAGAATGGGATTCTGAAGATGAGGAAGATAGTCAAAAGATAGAAGATTTTAAACAGAAAAATGAACAAGCTCTTTGCATCATAGGACTAACACTATCTGATCAGCAACTTGTTCATATACGCGGAGAGCAAACAGCTGTTGGGTGTTGGCAAAAACTAAGGAGGATTTATGTTCGAGATAACGTTGGTGCTCACATAAATCTAACACGGAAGCTTTTCCGCACATATCTCCAAAAGAATGGTGATATGCTGAGTCATTTGAATACTATGAAAAGCATTTTCCAAGAACTTCATGAGAAGGAGCTTATTTTCTCTGAACTACACCAGGTCTACATAATTCTATCTTCATTAGATGAAAGTTTTGATGACTACGTAACTTCCCTTGAAATATTGCCTAAAGAAAGCCTAACTTTAACTGATATCACTGGCAGATTGATTGAAGAGGCCAGAAGAAGGCTTGAAAGAGATCAGTTAAGGAGGGAGCAACCTCAAAAGGAAAATAATGAATCTCCTACTGCATACGCAATTAAAAAGTGTTTTAATTGTGGAGGGAGAGGACATTTTGCAAGATTTTGTAAGAAACCAAAGCGCCAGAATGCAAGCCAGAATGCTGTAAGTCATCAAAGAAGAAATAAGAATTATGAGTTAGCCATGTATAGTAATGGAGTTGTAAAAAATAATTTATGGGTGGTTGACAGTGGTGCGTCCCACTGTATTACAAATGATAACAAAAAATTTGTAAAAATGTCCATGAGTTCACAGCATATCTCATTGGCAAACGGATGGAAAATGAAGGCAAAAGGTGAAGGTATTGCTCATTGTTCTAGTATAAAGGAGAACATAAAAATGTTATATGTACCTCAACTTAAATTTAATTTGCTTTCTGTTAGAATGTTGGTTAGATTAGGATACATAGTTACCTTTAGGGGAGATACTTGTTTAATTGAAAAAGAAGGTAAGAAAATTACTGCATCTTTAAGAGTTGACTTATATGTGTTAAATGATAATGGTTTAGAGGTGGCTAACATGGTTTATGATAATAGAAAACCTCATGATGAATGTATTCACTTGTTACACCGACGGCTAGGTCATTTAAATTTTAAAATGATTAAGAGAACTGTTCAACTATCTAAAGGAATAAGTTTGAAACCTTGTAATAAGTATTTGCAATGTTCTGCTTGTAATCAAAACAAAAGCAAAGTTATACCGGCAAGTAGAATTGATGGATATACTACCAAAGAGCCTTTAGAGGTAGTATTTGCCGATATAATAGGTCCTAAAAAGCCAAGTGTAGGTGGTGCTAGATACATATTAAGCATAATGGACCACTATTCTAGGTATGGTTTCTGTTTTCTAATGAAGAGAAAAACTGAAACGTATACAAATTTCTTTAATTGGTTAAAATTTGCAGAGAGGAAAACTAAAAAGAAATTAGTAACTCTTATAACAGATAATGGTACGGAATTTATAAATAATAAATTCCAGAGTAGACTTAGAATGGCAGGTATTCAACATAAAAAGTCTGCACCATATAGGCCTCAACATAATGCATTTATAGGAGACGAGGCCAAACACTGCAATCAATGGGAAGGACAATGTTATCTGATTCTGGATTACCTGACAATTTGTGGGGAGAAGCTATAATGTGTGGGAATCACATATTAAACAATGTTGTTAATTCAACAACAGGTGAATTACCATTCACTCTGTGGCATGGTAGGAAACCTGATTTGAGTTATATTCACACATTTGGTGCACCAGCATGGGTGCATATCCCTACACAACTCAGGCACAAAGTACAACATAGAGCTAAAAGATTAATTTTTGTTGGATATCAAGCAAACCATAGATCTTATAGATTCTGGGAACCAGGTACATCTAGAGTATACTGCAGTGCTAGAGCACAATTCCTAGAACATATAGGATGGAATAGATTAGAGCAAGATTCAGATAATGATGTTATTATAGAACCCTACAAGAGGCAGAAAGAAAAGACTAGTTATAAGAAAAGTCCAATTAAAGAAGAAGTCCATGAAGAGCAAATAGAACCAGATCAAGAGGAAATAATTGATCAAGAAGAGATAGATAGTCAAGAACAGGAAATAAAGGAAAGTCCACCTGTAAGTCCTGTTATACCTAGACGCACAACGCGTATAACCAGACCACCTGATAGGTATCAGGCGAGTATTGTTTGCCAAGTAAATAAAGTTCCTACTAGCATAGATGAACTTAAAATTTTAAGAGCAGCTTTAGTATGGGCAGCTAAGAATAATTACATAGTTAACCATTTAGACGTAGAAACTGCATATCTGCATGCACCATTGCAGCATACAATATATTTGAAAAAACCAATTGGTATAAATGATAATAAAGCAGATAGCAATGATTGTTGGAAACTCAAGAAGAGTTTATATGGATTGAAACAATCTGGCTATGAATGGAACCAATATATTGTGAAAGAATTAAACAATATAGGGTTTAAATCTAGTTTAGCAGATCCATGTATGTTTAAAAGAGAAAATAATGGAACGGTGACATTATTGTTATTATTTACAGATGATATTGCTTTGATTACTAAGACCAATAATGAAGCTACTGAGATTATTTCATTATTAGCCAAAAGGATAAAATTAAAGCATTTAGGTGAAATTAAAAAGTATCTAGGATTGACAATTAACAAAGCCACAAAAGGATTTAAGATATCTCAAGAGGATAACATTTGCCAATTAATTAAATTGTATAAAATGGAACTTTGTAAGCCTGCAAAGACTCCAATGAGTCAGGAAATTTGCAAAATTGATGCTCAAAGTCCCAAATTTGATAAGACCATATATCAATCTTTGATTGGTAGCTTATCATATATAAGCAATTGGTCTAGGCCAGATATAGCTTATAGTATTAATCAGCTGGCACGATATAATAATGATCCACATCAATGTCATTGGCAAGCATTAAAGAGAATTTTAAGATATCTTAAAGGAACAATGCACCATGCATTGTATCTGGAGCCAAAAGGTTATTTGAATCTTAGTGCCTATGCAGATGCAAGTTTTGCAACTGACATAAATACTAGAAAATCAACATCTGGGATGGTTATATTACTTGGTAAGACACTAATAGGATGGGGGTCAATCAGGCAGTCAACGATGGAAGCAGAATTTTCATGTCTGTCATTACTATGCACTGACTTAATTCTGTACAAACAGTTATTATTAGACATGGGTATAACTGTTAA